TCGCCCGAATCTAGGAAGCCACTGATGCAAAGGGTGGAGGACAGCAAAAGGTTATTTGAAGCCCAGCCGCGTGGTGTTGATCATAACTGACTGATACACACCTGGGTTGTGATATGCAGCGGAAAGAGAGCGGTTGATGCAAGCTACAAGATCAATGGGGAGAGCAGCTTTGCACGAAACTCGATACGGCCTCCCCGCTTTGCATCCAGTCTTTTCGGAACGGTCAAGAGTAGTACATATGTGGTACCACGGCAGGGATCCGAATACCGGCTGCTCCAAACACAATCGTAGGCTTGCGGTATGGATCAAACTGAGAGTGTGGGAGGATGCTTCCCTGACCAGCAGCTCGAACAACGCACATTTGGAAGACCACCAAGGTTGTTGTAGACTCTTCGGTTAGATGACGTCACTTGATGTGAGATATAAAGAATATTGTTTTCATATGTTTTGATAGATGAAATATTCACCGCAAACACAATCATCACGTTCGTCCCTGCTGTATCGCTCGCGCAACGTCTCGGCCTGAAGTTGCTTCAAATTATATGGGAACGTCGCTTTCGAGAACAAAGGTGGGGGGATGTTGGGGTGGGGCTTTTATGGAAGGATTCTCTTTCGTACGCATCACCCTAAATAAATACTCGCAGACCGTCGTCGTCGACCGTCGGTAAATTTTCTTGAAAATAGACTACGTTTGTAAAATATGAACAACGAAATCCGTTGCTTAAGACTGGGTTGAGTATTTGGCGGATGTGAGTATCGCGCCGACCATGTGAGACGTCATGCCATGATTCCGGGAGCGTCGTCACTGCATAACGCGTCGGAGAGACCGTCTGTCTAGCACATGTACACTGTACACTGGAGCACATCTGTGAGCAGCAGTAGTACTGTAGTTGCGGTCAGGACAAATGCCTACGCAAGCAGCCAGAACAAGTAGTTACGTAGTACAGCAGTTGCTTTTGCAGCACGATACGCTACAGCTGCGAATGAATGCGTGTTCATCATTTTACTCCACCCATTGCTCCAGCTTTGGCAGCGCCTGCATGGCGAACGTGTGTAGTGTGTTTTGCTTAACATCAGCACGGGGAAAAGCACCCTGTGTACAACGGGTTAACAGCACGCCAGAACATCCCCGGCATTCGGGGTACACTGCATACAGCACCCGCGAGGGTGTGCCCGCTACTTCTGTAGGATCATGCCGGAGGCCTGACGCGACCAATACACAACTGCACGGGTGCACACGGTATGGTCTATGCGATATTGTAGCAAGGATGGGTAAAGATCATGTCCTCCATGGTACGTCCAGCATCAATCCACAACCACACACAAAATAGAATTGTTGACAGGTCCCGCACAAAATAATTGACAACATCGCAGATCTACTCTACCTCTTTCTTCACCTTGTGCCCCCCCCCTTTATGTGCAATACTATACTACGGCAACGAAAGCCCCCCCCGCCCCCAATGGGCGGGGGTGGCACAACGGGAAAAGCGTGGTCTAAATAATGGCTCGGTAAAGACGTACTTTTGAGGTTTTTGTGAAAAGGCGGCGACTCTACAGCGCGATGGTTGGAAGAGCCTGATATGAAGGTAGAAAAACATGGCGGTTGGCGCTCCGCGGCTTTTTGTTAAGGACGTGATCGTGCGTCGTCGTCGTCGGTAGTGGGGTGTCATCCATCAGTGGCAGAGTCCATGATATCACACATGGTGATGTTCACACGTTTACTTGTGGTCGATGGCAGCGGAACGCGATCGCGTGTGTGTGTGTCTTGGTTATTAGCATCGACCGCGCTGACTGGCTGATCAACGAAATGACGTCAGTCTTAGTGCGAACGTGTGTACCTGTCGCAGCCTTCGGCGAGCCTGTCGGGAACGCGATGCGGAGACCGGAGAACGATCTTGATGTTCCGTTCGAAATTTATTCTCGAGCAGGGAACGCGATGCGGAGACCGGAGAACGATCTTGATGTTCCGTTCGAAATTTATTCTCGAGCCGGTCACGCAAGCTTCGTGTGAAAGCATTCCATACAACCAATAAGGGCTTCACCATTTAGTCTAGTCGTCCAGCATTCGGTGCCGCAATAGTCGATACCTTTACTTCTTTTGTCGTGTACTGTAGTGAGAATTTTCACAATGCGTCCAAGCTGGTTCACGGAATACTCAACATAAAAACCTGACGCCGTTGTCAGGAGTTGGAAGCTGAAACGTTGCACACATGTCCGTTGAGTAGATGCGAAACGCTATGTGGAGCCGGCTTCTTTTATTTTTTCCCTGTCGCCGGTTGTCCGCGGTCCGAGGGGTTTCGGGGTCATGCGCGGCTCCTGCGACCCCGAACAACCGGTGACCATGGAAGAAAATAATAAAGGCGGCTCCACACAGCGTTTGGCATGCACCCAGTGTACCTGTGTGCAAAGGTTCAAAGTCCAAATCTTGAAAATAGCGTGAGGTTTTCAGCTTCTGTGCCATGAAGAGTACCACATCCTTAGGCCAGTTATTATGGAGCAGGAATCCGGGGAACTTTTGGCGGAACCCCATGAAAACTTTTTCCGCGAACCCCCGGAAATTCCAGGAGGCGGCAAAAAGGCTAAATTATGGGGACGTTGGAATCCCGAAAAATTCCAATTCGAGGAATTCCAGCCCAATCGAGCAGGAATCCGTGGCGGATTCCAACTCGGGCCATCACAAATTCCTAGCAGGAATCCCGGGGGGGTTCGTGAAAAACAGGGCGTCTCCCCGCCTTTTTTGAATCTGAGCCAGTTGCACCGCACGCACGCAGACGTGCTGCTGCTATGGTGCGCCTCGTAGAGTTGAGGGCGGTGTTGGCCGTGCTTTCGTTGGCTTTTGCCGCGCTGCATTATCAACAGCAGCTTCTGGTCGCGTCGCTGCGACAAATGCGCCGGGAGGAAGAAGATGGGTGCGACGGAGAACCGCGACCCAAGCGCCGCCTTACGGTTCGGCCGAGAGCGGACTACGCTCTGCCTAGGGCAAGAGTGCTTGAGAAGGCCGACCTATTGCAGGACCCGTCGACGAGAGAGGCAAAGCAGTTTCGGCGAAGGTTCCGCGTACCCTACCCTTTCTTCCTGTCTCTTGTAGACGAAGTGAAGGCGGGGAAGTGGCCTGTGTTCACGACGGACGAATTCGAGCTTGGCGGGAGAGGCACCAGGCGCTGCATCCCCGTGGAAATAAAGGTGAGCTAGCACGCGCTGCACCCTAGAGATGGGCGTGGGGATTTGCCTAATGTAAGTTGTGGTGCTCTCCAGGACTATGTAAATGTAGATGAACAAACGAGCACGTACATTCCCCGCGCACGCCGTGGTGGCATCAATCACATGATCGGTGCACCTGCATCTCGGCACACCCTGGAAAGGGAGGAGAGAGCGCACGCAGTCCTCTCGGAGCGTTTGCGCCGGCGGTGAGGATTAGCTCTCATTGCGCACACGTTTCCACACCTACAAGCACCAGAAATTCCAAGCAGTCCTCTACTTGCGTGTATGGTGCTCCTATGGTATGGAGACTGCCGGCCTTAACTCTCGAAAGTCGTCCACGGAAGGATCGGCGTGCCTCAACAGCAAGCTGCTCTCCCGACAAACCAAGCTGGAGTCTATCCCTTCCGAAACACAAGCTTGATGTGGTTGCTACTCACCTTAGCCCTCTAGTCCAAAACATCGATGGGAGCCCGTGGTCATGAATGCTATTGCCAGTCTCGGACAGCAACTCTGCTACATATAGCTGCTTGTCTCACTATCAGTGTTGCTCCTAAACTGGACGTGGAATATTTGAATATTTTCAACCACGCCGCTATTTCCATGCACTCCAAGGACACACCGTAGACTATACCTTGCACGTATGTATGTTGACGCTTGTGATGACGCAACATGAAGTCCGCACACGAATCGTGTCCCTGACTTCCGTTGTTTGGTGATTTTTTCGGTCAGGTTTTGGCAGTGCTGCGCATACTGGGCAGAGGAAACTATTTCGACGATGTCTCGGAGGTCACCGGCATGGGCGAGGCCACCGTGAACCACCTGTTCCACAAGTTCACGGAAAGATTCGCGCGTGAGTTTTTTCCGGTATGGGTGAGGATGCCGAACGAAGTCGAGCTGAAGGAGATCATGAAAACCTATGACGAGGTTGGAATGACGGGCGCCATGGGATCGATGGATGGGACGCATCTTTAGTGGACGGTGTGTCCTTATTCGGAACGCTTGTCGCAGGTTGGCAAGGAAGGCTACGCTACCCTCGTGTATAATGTTGCCGTCAGCCACGACATGCGTGTTTTGTCGTGTACGCGGGGCTTCCACGGCGCCCAGAACGACAAGACCATCGTCAAGTTCGACAAGTTCGCGACGGAGGTTCGAAACGGCTGGTACAAGGACGTAGAGTACACTCTGAAGGGCGAGGACGGAGGGGACATCAAAGAGAAAGGGCCATGGTTGATCGTGGACGGCGGATATCACAACGTGAGCGGACTCGTGTTCCACCGAATTTGTAGTGCAGATTGTCTTTGTTTGCACCCGGCGCGCGCCAAGTTTGGTGTTCCGTTTACTAGCATTACGAAGCGTTTAGGAACACGAGACGAAACTACAGCGGGTCGCTACTGCTGTGTCTTCAGAACTACAGTTGTTGGCCCTTGACGCTTCCCCAACGTGCTGCGCTACGGCACACGGGTTGCTATTGTTCATGTTCGGATGTGTTTAATGTATATCGCGATACGGCAGGTTTGCGTTATATACCATAGGTTGGTGGCTGCTCCCTCGGGCAGGTGCATTGTTTTTTAGGTGAATGGACAGACAAACGCTGTATATTCTATGCAAATGTGTCTCCAAAAGGGCGACGCAGTCCGCGCGGTCCTCGCAATACGTCTGCGTGAAACGTTTCGGCAGTGTACTTGACAACCGACAATTTGGATGCTCTCCAAATGCTTCAACCGAAGAGTGCTCGTACGTGCTTGTCTGCCTGCTTGTATGCGAGTTCGTGTATCTGTTGGCTTTTCCCCCGCGACGATGGTGGTGGAGACTGAACCCCACCTTGTGTAATTTTCGGAATATCACGGTCGTCGTCGGGGTTAGACGTGATGGTAGTTCATGTGCTGGTCTGCGGTAATCTTCAGCGGTCCCCATGTGCGTCTTCAAGGCTTGATTCAAATGTCGTACCCATTCACTTTGTCCTCGCTCCCCGCCCACCCGCCATGGCCCCCATCCTTGCTCAGTGGAAGCAGCTCCAGAGTCCGATCAGGGTGCCATCAACCAAGGCCGAGTCGGGGTTCAAGAGACAGCTCGAGGGCGTCCGCAAGGACTCGGAGTGCTGCTTCGGCGTCGTCAAGGGTCGGTTCAGGATCTGCAAGATGCAGTTCCTCTACAGGAAGAAAGAGAGGATCGACAACACCTTCTTCACGTGCATGATACTGCACAACATGCTTCTCGCCTACGACGGGATCGAGCTCTTGGAGCCGTACTGCGACTGGGCCGGAGCGGACGGCGACCTCGACGAAGACATCGTGCACCCTGACGTGCGGATGAGTGCGCCGGCCGTTGGTGACCACCTTCGCTTACCGATGGGGACAGGGGACCGTTGGGTGGAAGAGGTCGTGATGAGCGTTGAGAAGTCACATGCTGCTACGTTGACGGCGGGGAGGTAGGGGGGGGGGCGTCGGCTGCAATTAGTGGCATTTTGGAATCAATCCCCCTGTTGAAGACTACATCCCTCTCCGGCGTCAGCATCGTCATGTTTCGTTTTTGGTTCTTGTTACCAAGTGTCGCCTTTGCCTTTGCCCTTGCCTGGCCTTCTTTACACTTTGCCGTGTTGTTGTATCATTGTCGTATGTGGTCTACTGTATGAAATCGTGTCTGGCCTGTTTCTGATTCCCTTCGAGTAATCCATACAACTGTCTGCGCATTGGCATCAGATTTGGCCTCTGTGTCTCGGTGTATTATTTATCCTTTCTCGGTCCATCTTTGCGCCTTTTTTGTTGAGGGGGGGTGGGACAGCCTCGAGGCTAGGCGGAGTTTCCTTCGCTCTGCTGGCGGAAGACTGTTTGTTTAGCTTGTTTTTCGCAGCATTATGTTTTTGGGTCGGAGTGGTTTGCTTTGTGTTCCCATGGCCTGACGCGTGCGTATGTACGTTACATTTGTTTACGGTACAACATATTTTTTGTTTTTGTTAAGTTTTTGCGGCGTCGGGTGTACCCAAATATGTGACCACAGGCTCCTATGGTTGTTTTGGAAAAGAGAGCTACAGATTAGTAATTGTGAAGTGAGGACACAGGCTTCTGTCAGGGACAGGGGCCGTTGTCGCCGCATTTTAAACCCGCTGCCAAGGGCTGCTAGGGTTGAGGAATGTAGCGAGAGGAACTAGATAAAGGAAGAGTGGCCCGAGGGGCGAAAGGAGGGTCGGAAGGCAACCCTCCGATTCCCCTCGGTGAATTGCCATAAATCTCCGCAATTCATTAGCTCTCGCGGTGCTTTTATTGTCGACTCTTCTGCCTCGGAAGTGTCGTATCCTATCTTGACGTGTATTGTACACAGATGCAATGGTTGCCATAATCTCGACAGGTGTCCTCCACAGAAGACAGAAGAAAAAAACGTGCACCTGCACAATTCTGTGGTCTTGTGGTCCTGTAGGTAAGACCTTCCTGCACAGCAGTGAAACGCCGGTACTGTGTTGGCCCGTATGCGTAAACAAGAACGGTTGCACCGCCGTGAGGGTGCCTCCGGTGACACGCGTATCGCAGGGCCAGGGGCCATGTTTCGTTTGTTTGCATTTTTCCCATAGAGGCCGCCCGCTGAGAAAAGAGGTTGAAATTAAGAGTGAAAGATCGGCAGCCTCGCGAAAGAGAACGGTGTGACAGAGCGTAGACCCAAACATGACAACCGAGGCCTCCAACAATCAACTGACACACAAGGTCTACCGATTGTTTATTGTGCCCGGTAACACACCTATGTAGCAGCCCCCCACCCGAATTTGGAGAAGTTTGCTAGTCATTATTGTACGCGAATAAATCTACAACCTACGTTTTCTATGAAGAACACAGCGCGAAGAAAGCTTTTTCTAAACTAAACAGTCACTTGCGTACTGTAGTCCCCACAAAGACTACGTCAACTAATGCCGAGTATATTTTCCTTCATATGAAAACACTAAAAACTCATGAAGAAATGCGGCCAGGCCGAGGTCCCCGTACCAAGACCGTACGGCGTCTCGTCACGCGCAACACGAACCCGAAAAACGGGAGTCATCACGCGGATGTCTACTGATCGATATGAGATCTATTCTGTCTCACAATGTTCGTCGGCGATATCAATTCCGCTACACACAATTTCTCCAGCCGCCTTTCCCTGGGAATAATGTCCACGTGTAAATATCGACATGGAACGTAGACAAAATGGTTTCTTCACCAGACCATATCAACGACACCAGAAGGAAAGACTCTATTGGGATGCGCGAGGGTTGATATTCCACAAGCTAAATATCCAAGCCGAACAAACGAAATCGTCGGGACAGCAGTGCCCCAGGCTGCGAAAAGAAATACCGAGGGAGATCTACGAAACAAGGGGATCCCTCTCCCCCGGAGACAAATTAGGCAGCAAGTGCTTATTAACCTACCACCCTAAAACCCAAAAACACGCCCGATAGTTCGGTAGGAAACAAACAAGTCGGGTATTAGAGGAAACATTCCCGTACAACCGCACTCCACGCGGGAGACGAAATTTGAACCACCAGCAGAGCTGTGCACTGGAAGTCACCCCCTTATTACTGCAAAACCAGAACAAACTCTTGAGCTGTCTTCCTTCTTGCTCGACCTCCTAACTCATGGTCAAGGATGAACACCTCGCTCAACAGACGTGCAAATCGAAGACGCTGCTGTCGGGAAACAAGAAGACAAGAACAAGGGCACCAGGGGAGAGCTAACACAAGGAGCGCGGCGAGCGACATGCCCATGCCGCACTCCCAATAGTTTTCGCCCTGGGGTGTGCGGTATTTCGGGAGGGCAGAGGTACTCGAGGCAAGATAAGTGGGGCTTTTCCAATTGCGATACTCCCGAAAAACCAATGCGAACTAACCATAAACTGCTAGGCCGGGATCGGTGATGAGCGAGCAACACATCGCCTCATGAGCGCCATCAACCTACGCGGTACCCCATATATCACCACACACAAACGGCATGCATTCTTTTACTCACTTGACGCTGCAATATTTTACACGGAATGCCGTGTTCCTTGCACTGCGGTGGTTTCGGCCCGCCTCCAGCTCCCGCTCCCTCACCACCAGCCCCAAAGCCACTGCCGGCGCTGCCCACGGAAGACCCGCCGCGTTTGTCCTTCGCGGCGGCACCAGTGGCGCCCGCTGAAGCATCCGAGCCCCCCCCGGAACCGCCATCCACCTTCACGCCGTCCGCAGCCTCGAAGTGGTCGCACATTTTGTCGATGTCGTCCATGCCGCACTCCCAATATGTTTTGCCCTGGATTGTGCGATTTATTCGTGACGACGGGGAAGGGAAGTATACACGCCGAGGTCAGTTGGGCTCTTGGATTGGAGGTACACCGAACGCCCGCGACAAACAAATAAACCAAGAACTCGTAGGGCCAAGCCCTTTCATCAACCAACATGAGTGCCACCACCCTACGCGGTACCCCAGACAACAACGTACTGTATACTCACTCGAAGTATCAAGAGTTTGCACGGAAGTTGGTGTTCGTCGCATTACGGTCTTTCCGGCCTGCCTCCACCGCCCACTCCCTCGCCGCCGCCCCCAAAGCCCCTGCCGGCACTGCCGCCTGAAGCGTCTCCGCGAACACCTCCACCGCCGTCGACGTCCATTCCAAGCACGTTGCCCCCCGCATCCGCTTCACTCTCCGAAATGTCCACCTCCAAAACGTCGGTGGCGGGTCCGCTAGGCGCAGCCCCGAGTGAGGCGTAGTACTTGGCAGCAGCACCCGACGTAGCCTCCGATCCCGGACCTCCTGTAGCCCTGGCATGGTTGCGGGCGGCTTCACCTGCGCCTGCCCGGACGGAGGCAGCCTCGTTGGAGACCGCGTTGTCACTCCGGTTGCCGTTCGTGCATCCGGCTAAATCCACGTCAACGGTGTCGCCCTGTGCACCGCCGCCGGCGCCGCCCTCTACGCCTTCCATCATGCCCACGCCCCCAGAGGTGGTGACTCCCGCAGCAACGGTACCGCTACCACCAAAAACCGGTGCTATCGGCGACTCTAAAATAGCCAGCATTTGCGCAGCAGCCTCGTCCGCCCTCTTTTCCATGCCGCGAGCCCGATACAGTTTCTCCACCTTTTCCAACTCCTCAATCCTTTCCCTCCTCTGCTCTGTCTTCGCCTGAAGCTCCAAAGCACTCGAAATCACTGCGACCTGCTGCGTCACCTTGGCCAGAGTGACCTGGCTCTCTCGGCAAATCTTGAGGTGTTCCTGCATCCCTGCTGCATCGCCCCGAGCTTTCTTCTTCTCCTCGCGATCCCTCGCCTTCGTAGCCCTCCTACCGAGGATCTCTGTAGGTTTTGACAAACACTTCATGGCGTGCTTGCTCCTCATGGCCGACTGCTTCCCCCCAGACGCACCGCCACTACTGCTGGCCCTTTTCTTTCCCTTCTTGATTCCCACCTTGGTCGCGGCAACCTTCCGCCGCGTGCCCTCGCCGGTGTTGCCGCTGGACTTGCTTCGGTTTCCCTCTCCAGATCTCGAGGCAGACGCGTAACTTCCCGCACCCTTGCCGTCTTCAAATCCGCCGCCGCCGCTGCCGTTGCCGTTGCCGCCGCCGCTGCCGCCGCCGCAGTCGTAGGTCGAAATCGTCGTCGTTGTCGTCGTCGCCGTAGTTGTTGAGCTCCTCGTAGGAGTCGTCGCTGAGGCCTCCGCTGCCCACCCCTTGAACGTCAGGGCCGTTGGAGGCCGTGAACGATATGTCCTCCTCCGGGTTTGCGGCCAGCGGTCCGTACAACAGCCACGTAAACCAGTACGGAGGGAGAAAGTTGTCGGGCATGTCCTTGTCGAGGAGCTCATCACGGTTCGGGATAGTCGGTATCTCGATCTGCTCGGCTATCCTCGGGTTTTTCGTCTTGCTCTTCTTTTCAGCGCCGGCCTCCGTTTTCTTTCAGCCTCCTTGATCATCTTGTTGGCAGCATCTTCGACCTGGTCCTCCCACACCTTTCCTATGACCTCCAGCATCACGTCGCCGTTCTGTTCTCCAGATTTCGGCTGCCCATGTTCGTTTGTCGCGCTGCACATGTGTACACAGCCGACGACGAGGACACAGGGGGGAGCTGCGTACAATGAGGAGGTGCCACCATAACCTACCTCGCGAACAAAGACGGATGCAGCCGAAAACCCCGACCAAGATTTAACAGGACGTATGCCGCCATTCCTAGGTAACCGACAAGAAGAAATACATTTGAAGCACAACTATAACACCATCGCGCGGTGCTGTCCCGTGCAATACACCACCTCCCCGATTGTTGGAAAACAATAAAAAAATCCCAAAAAATTGCCACAATGTCGACTGTGGCTCCTGCGCAATACGAGCCTACCCCCGGATTGTGAACTTCACCACCAACGTCGCCCAAGGTTTTAATTGGCGTTTCAACCAGGAACCGGTAACGCGTGTACCAATATCAGGCACGTGTACCCTCAACTACAGTGATGCGTGCGCCGACGTCACGCGTTGTCTTCTTCGTCCAAAGTAGCAGGTCGAAAACAAACAAAACCCTCCGATGTTCAACGTACCTGTTGAAGTGCACTGTGTAGTTCTCCAGCTCGCGCCGCTGCTCCTGGCCCCGCGTCCAACACTTGTTCATCTGCGGATCAAAGAGGCTGTGATTCGCTGCGTACGAAAACAGCGGGAAGACAGAGAGACACAGGTGGCGAAGAGGGAGAAAGAGGCAGATGTGAGGAGAGGAGAGGGATTCAAGGGACGAGGGAGGATTGAAACGCATATGCTACGCTTTCCGTGTCTGACGCCAGTTTTCCCGTGGAGGCTTGCTTTTCGACGCTACCGGCACACACACGGCGTCACCTCACGTGGCCATCTACAGTAGTACGTACGTGGCTTCCAGACCGTTCGCGCCGGCGACGGCGGCGGCGGCGGCGGCGACACACACAGAAAGGGAGGTCTCAGAAAGCATGTTGGAAATAATTCTGATGGCAGTTTTCTCCCCGGAGGTTTGTTTCTTGGCGCTACCGGCACACAAATGGCGCCATCTCAGGTGGCCGTCTACAGCAGTACGAACAGGTGGTTTCCAGACCGCCACCGCCACCCGTCGCCGACAAAAAAAAATAATACGAGTATACTGGTAGAAGTCTAATTACTACATGTTACCAACAACGGTATGCAATATTTTCACGTTACCCGTGCGTACATATCTGATGCCAGTTTTTCTCCGCGCGGAGGTTTGTTTCTTGACGCTACCGGCACACATACGGCGTCACATCACGCGAGAACTACAGCAGTGAAATAGCGGACGCCGCCGTTGCCGGGGCCGCCGGCGCCGCCGGTTGCCGCCACAAAGCGCGCCGGCGGTGGCAATACACAAAAACAACAAAAATCGGCGAGTACATACCACAGCAGTCGATGTAGTCCTCTTGCTACATGAAGGCACCGAGGCGGTGTCCTACACATTTGAACAGTAGAGGGATATGTGTTGTGTCGACGCTCCCCAACCTAAAGCTACTCACCGTCGTTCATGGAGACCTTCCCCAGCTCTGCTGCGTCGAGACCATCAGGCATGGTAATTCCGCACGATTCGGTGAGGAATAGTATAGTCCCAGGACCCGCAAACGTCCTCATGCAGTTTGCAGCATGCGCATGCATTTCAGACGCATGCATGTCAGGTTTGTCCCTGACAGATTGGTTGGCGTAGCACGCGGCCGGGTTTTGCAACAGGCAGCGTTGCTGATGCGACCATCCTGCTCTTGGTCCCATGGCAACGAATCGATTCCACGACCAAACTATCTCCTCTCGTGGCTGATCGGCCCCCCATTATTCAATTGGCTCACACTCGCTCAGATCAGGGGGCAAGTTGGCCATGCTCGCGGTGTTTCGATGCGGATGGTATGAAGGATGGTCTGGAAGTGCGATAGAGAATCGCGCCCATTTTTGAATTCACATGCACCGCTCCGTGCATGGTGAATCAACCCCCCCCACGCTCCGGATTCCAATTTCCCCATAACTTGGGTGGCACGAGAATACAAAATTGGAATTCCGGCGCAGGAATTTGTTTCCCCAGGGCGGAGGATTCCAATTTTGGAATTCTTCCATACTAACTGGCCTTACTTCACCCCAAGCTAATTCATAATAGTATTGAATCGTATCCGCGGGGCCCCTTCTACACTACAATGCCGAGTGTTGCGCCAGCTTTACAAGTTATCCCTCAAAGCTTTCTGGAAAGCTTCATTGAAATATCCCGGAGCGGGAAAATAGAATGATGTTCACATTCAGGTACGTGGATTCGACTTTCGGGGGTCCCACTCCGAGGGCCCTTCTCAACTAGTCAAGAGTCCCCACATTCCCTCATTTTTTTTGTTCGGGTTGGGGCACTTTGGTGAACCCTGCTGTCAAATTTGGGGACATGTAATTGTTTCGTTGGATATATACAAGGCAAAACCAACACCAAGATGTCTGTGCATCTTATCAAGTACGTCCAGCGGAAATTCGACAATCGCGGCCGTCCGAACACATGTGTGTTGGGTAACTCGCGTCTACACCTACTTATCAATTTCTCATTTTTTTTGTTGCGTGTCCTAGAGCATTACGGATTACTTCTTGTCAATACTTCGGTAGAGAGGGGTTTGTAGTAGTAGTGCGGTGTTGCATGGATTCTTTGTTTTTTATCATGTTGAAGGCTTCTGATTGGCCGAGGAACATTTAAGCTTGTAGCTTTATGGTCATGGCTCAAATCGTGATTTCGACCATGACGTTGTGTCCCCTGGCACATGGGCGTCATACAGACACCACATATATATGCCAATGTTGTGCACAAGTTTCGTCTAGCACCTGTCTGTCTGTGTGGTTGAATCAATTTGGGTTGATTTCCACGAACCAGCTTGTAGCAACGATTGAACGGGAAAAAAAAATAGTATCACCCGAGAAACCAAGAAAAAGGGAAAGTCGTAGGACGTGGCTCCGATGGTGTCACCGATAGTCTTTACAATGTAGGGACATTAACTCACAGAAAGGCATGTGTTGTGTTGTTTTGCATCTATTTAGGCTATGTTGTCATGGAGACAGCCCCCATGTACTACATTTTTCAGTGTCTTTTTTCGTACCATTACGACCATCCAGGGATGCAGGGTCACACAAGAGGGGTTGAACACCGGGGCGTCGGCGGTGCAATAGTATCGGAGCCCTGCCGTCGGTACGGGGACACATTTTTTGTACTACAGTTGAAGAAACTGTCGTCCTTTGGTTACCGTTGTGATACTGGGACACATTTGAAAAGGGCCGCAGGAGGTGCACGTACCACCTGCGATCTTGGCACCACACAACAGACACAGCACACCCAGCATCCAGCACATAGCACACAAGGAACATTTTGTGGGACATGGAAGCAAGACAGCCGCTGATGCTAGAAAGAAAAGAAGCGGCTTGATCATCATAATGGTCAGACGCAAACAATCCAACGCACAGCGACACGGTGCTACACTAACGCAGTGGCACTGTACTACACTCCACTCCGGCAACGACTGTTGTTCCGCGTAGGTGGTGTGATGAGGAACGACTGGGTGAGACAGGGATCAGCCATATCAGAGACGATGCTCTATTTTGGCCGTCGAAAGTTCATGTATGTCAAGAGCAGCAGCAGTGTAGGTGAGGTCTTTCACTACACACTATCACAGGCGCGGATCTCAAGGCGGCATCACCTCTCTGACGTGTTGGTAGCTCGAATCACCGCTGGTGCTGCTGCACTTGACTGCCGCTGGCCCCGTTTTGAGACGATGGCGTGCTTGCTTGTGTTGATGTGCCAACAGATACATAAGCACATGATGATACAAGAATTGCCAACTTGGCTCTGCAAAACAACACCGAGGGGTTGACAAAAAAGGGCAGTCATTCATACCCCAGATAAATCTAGGTGATCTGCTCACCCCGCATTCACTGCAGCAACCCGCTTGTAAATTGACGTCGTGGTCGTCGAGATATTTATACAACGATGTTTCGCGATATTTTCTTTCTTTTCCAGACGTCGCCAGAAAAGAAATCGCCCGTTTTTTCGTGTTTCCTTTATTTTCGTGCCTCACCTTCCTCCTGCGGTTTGTGCTGAATATTGCTTTTGTATTGCGAGAAGGGTCAAGCTATCCCTTTTCCTCGTCGACGGTGCCACCGTCGAAGTTTGGTACCTACGAGAGCTTTTCACCCATATTTTTTCGCATTCACCCAAGAAGTTGTAAATTATATTTTTTGGTTTCTTTCGAATTGCCTTGAATTAAATCTGCCACCCTACGGAGGGAGACTTCCCCCGTTCCACAAAGCCCGCGCGGCACAAAGCCTCCGCGATATCCTAACGTGTCTCTGCTACTAAACACAAGTCTCCCTTCAAATGATTCCAGGCGGGACGAAACTGTCGTACAGTAGCAGTTTCGGACGATTGAGCCTCCCAACGGTACGTGATACCATTCAAAAAACACCCAAATCGAAGTCGTGCGACAACTAAATCGGGAGACAACAGTAGAGCCCGTCGGGCGGTCTGATGTCGTACAGTACGCCTGACCAGTACAGAACATGTACGATACAGACCCTGCGCGCAGTTTGAGCACGAAACGGGACGGCACAGCTCAGCCGTCGGGCTTCGTGCCGCGCCGCCCGCTTAGATCACCCCCAAATCGGAGGACTCAAAGAGTTCCTCCATCAAGAAGGGCACGGGCGAGCTCTACCTCGGAGAGATCCCAGTGTCTCTCGGCGGTGGCGTGCGGTACCGATTAGCGATGGCCAGCTGTCGTGCACTACGAAGCTCTAAGTGCCGTTTGTCTTGCCCTTCTTGGTCGCCATGAGCCCCGAGCCCTATGTACGGTGGTTCCACGGCAGTGCTTGCTTTCTTCTGTATCTTAAGAGGTTCCCGCAAAATGATTCGTATGGTGCCTGGGATATCTCACTACGAGGAGAAACATGACGAAAAACGCGAGACAGAAACAGTAGGAAGGAAAAGGACAGGGCTACGTTATCATGCAGCCCGGGCTACCAGATCTCGTGGGCACTGAAACATGGCCGGGACAGGTCGCCATGGGATCAGGGGACGTGCGAGGCATGGCAAACAAGCGATGGGACTGTACAGAATCATCACGGGAAAGATACAGGGACTTGACCTCGGCCGTCTGTGTTGATATCATCGAGCGTCATGTGTTTAGCACGTGGGAAGCCGTCACGAGGCAATTCAACCACAACCTTCCCCGTACGGCTCTGCGCTCTCGCCGCTATGCATCGTTCGAGGCATGATCAAGATTCATGAGGACATTACGGGGTATCTTTTACGTGCAGTAGATCGATTCCAACCACACGACCGAAGCGAGTTTAGGTGGCCAATGCCGCAACACTAAGGAAATTATCTTCGCGATCATCCATGCCTGACGGAGTAGAATTTGTCTCGCGTAAACAAACAAACGGACGTTCATGCGTGCAGCAGACGTGCATGTGCACACACACACCACGAACAATAAAACTTCTGTGGCGGAAATGTTGCATCGTTGAATGCAGCTGTGCGGAAACAGATCACACCGGGAGATGCTGCTCTACCCGTGGGTGCTTTGGTTCCCCCAAACCGAGGCCCTGATAACGTAATCTCGACAACCGAGAAACTAAGGTCATGTTCGGCGCCAACTTTGACTGGTGCGGCGAGGAACTGTCCGGCGAGCCACTGCTGAGGTCCAGTATCCTGCTGACGCCATAAGAGAACGTGAACCGATTCTGGTACATGTCAATCGACGGGTACCATGCGAATCGGGTCCTACTTACCACAAGTCTGTAGCCGTCAGGTCGAGACAGCTTGGGCGTCTGTGTGTCGATGATGGCTCACTCTCAACTACAACCTCAGCTACGTACGCCGACCACGGCTTACCACAGCCACTGTACTGCTGTTATTGTTCTG